CCACAAAGTCCTCTTTGTTTTTCCCTTGTAAAAACAAATTTAGTTTATCTATTTCCGCTACTTCTAACAGTTTACCTATTACTTCGTCTATTCTGGGTGTATTGTCTAATTTCCAGTATTTGGCCCATAGTATTCTCGCTGCTGTAGTTACATACGATATTACATATTTTTCATTAAAAGTAAATGTTTCCGGCATAATATTAAGTAAGAATATTTCAGGCACCAAGTCTAGCTTCACTTTCAGAACTTCTTCTATTATTTTCTGTATAGATTTCCAATACTTCTGGATTTTTGTGCAACGCCACCACATATGATAGAATGTTCCCACATTTAGTTTACACTTCCAGCAAACATTTGAACAATTTGGATAACATTTTGCTAACCTTTCTGGTGGCCAATACCATGTCGTCCAGCTCCCCAGTGTCTGGGAATGCTGCGTTGCCCGACTCCTTCACTTTGAAGCGCCTCCATCATCAAAGCCTTACACCCAACTTGACTCTTGGTGGAGGCGTCCTACCTATTCCTCTCCTCTCTACAGGAGTCACCTGGTCGACTGTCCAACACCTCGTCCCATGTCCCGAAGCAGGGATGAAGGCTCTCTTGCCCCGGCCTGTCTTCCTCCTCGCCTCCTTTCTGGTTGCCGTCCAAGCCAAGATCTACGAGCGCTGCGAATTGGTCAAGAAGTTGAATGACCACGGGCTGGATGGCTATCAGGGTTACAGCTTGGCGAATTGTGAGTGGGACTCCTTGATGGATAGCCTCCTTTGTTTCCAGATGTTGTTTGCGTCTGGGATTTGGGCAGTAGATGGTGCTTGGGAATACCCCTCAGCTGGGCCGCACAATCTCCCAGTGCTTTATTCCCTCGTCCCACAGCATTCACCAGGGGTCCCAGTTGAAAGTGGAATCCATGGTGGCCATGGCTAGGGTTGCTAGCTTAGGCCTGGGAGAAACCTGGAGATTTGGAGGTGGAGTCTGGGGTGGGCGGGATTTAAGGAGAGAGAGGGACCTCAGCAAGATTTAATGCCATAGAGTCCATCCTCCAAAGCAGCATATTTCTCCAGGGGAACTGATCTCTGTCATCTGGAGATCATTTATAATAGAAGAAGAAGGAGAAGAAGGAAAAGAGGTTGGATTTCTACCCCGCCCTTCACTACCCAAGGGAGTCTCAGAGCGGCTTACAATCTCCCTTCCCCTCCCCACAACAGACACCCCGTGAGGTAGGTGGGGCTGAGAGGACTCTTTCGAGGACCACTCATGAGAGAACAGCTCTGACAGAACTTGTGACTGACCCAAGGTCACACCGGCAGCTGCATCTGGAGGAGTGGGGGATCAAATCCGGTTCTCCCAGATTAGAGTCCGTGCTCCTAACCACTGCACCAAACCACAACACCAAATTGTGGGAGACCTCCAGTTAGTGATGCTACCGTATCCAAAACATACTGACCCAATATCGTAGCAATGGGAAACATTGTTTTTGAAAAAGGACAGGCTGTAACGTGCTCATCCTTCACTGGCATTTATCTTTGTGTCTTGTTTGTTTTTGTGTTTATAACAGAAGGGTGGGGGGAAGCTACAATAATTAAAATCACCCATCATTTGCTGGAAGCCAGTGGGAGCAAGCCTCGCTGACTAGAAAGACAGATTAGAATACCCTCACTATGTACAAAGTCTCTTGAAAAATAAAACTGATGCGTACTAATGTATGTATTTAAAACATTTTGTGCTGCATTTCCACCTATCAGGGTCCACAAGGTGACGAACATAAACATATTAAACGTTTAAACAATTAAAAATACATTCAGGCGGGTAGCCGTGTTGGTCTGAAGCAGCAGAACCGCAAACCATATAAGCAGCGGTGGCTGCAGCAGACATTGGCCCATTCTGCATCGAGCATTTGCTCCGCCGTTTTACCAAACCCACGCTGGAACAGAGATTCCCCTCTGCATTGCCTGCCACTTTCACTTTGATTGATTGTCGGATTTTATGGCAGTGTCCAGAGTGCATGCCGCTTTCATTTCGTTTGATCTCTCGGTTTTATGGAACCATCTGCATAGATTTATAGCCATTTTATGGCCGTTCGGGGGTGACTCTGCAGTCAGTACGGCGTTGGCCCCGGGGTAGTTGATGTGGTTTTGAGCCGCGTCTTTTTCTGTTCCAGCGTGGGTTTGGTAAAACAACGGAGCAAATGCTGGAGGCAGATTGGGCCCAAGTTTAATTCTGGGTATAAGCTTTTGTGTGCATGCACACTTCTGTGCCTGCACACGAAAGCTTATACCCAGAATTTTTTTTTTTAAAGGTGCCACTGGACTCAAACTTGGTTCAATTAAATATACAGTTAACATTCTCAAATTCAATTAAAAACACAAAAAGAAGAAGAGTCGGTTTTATACCCCGCTTTTCTCTACCGCAAGGAGTCTCAAAGCGGCTCACAATCGCCTTCCTCTCCCCCTGCCCACAACAGGCACCTTGTGAGGCAGGTGGGGCTGAGAGAGTCCTGAGAGAACTCTGACTGGCCCAAGGTCACCCAGCAGGCTTCATGGGGAGGAGGAGTGGGGAACTAAACCTGGTTCTCCGGTTTAGAGTCTGGCGCTCTTAACTGCTACGCCCGGCTGGCCCTCAAGAACACTAGAAGTAGGGTTCCTAGGTTGAAACTTGGGTTTTGGAACACTGTATTGGCAGTGATCCTCCCAGAGATATTTCATTTCTCTCCCTACAGGGGTCTGCCTGGCCTTTTTCGAGAGCAGCTTTGACACCAGAGCTGTGGGTCACAAAAAAGATGGCACCAGTGACTACGGCATCTTTCAGATCAACAGCGGCTGGTGGTGCGCCGATGAAGACAGTGCCTCTGACAACTTGTGTGACATCGATTGCAAAGGTCAGTCGCTCTTCCCAAATCAACACTAGGGGGTGCTGTGCCCAAGCGAAGGGTCTCCAGGTTGGGGAATACCTGGCGATTATGGGGGTGGAGCCTGAGGAGGGCGGGCTTTGGAGAGGGGAGGGACTTTGGTGGGGCTTAATGTCATAGACGCCGCCTTCCGAAGCGGCCATTTTCTCTAGGGGAACTGATCTCTGTCGCCTGGGGATCAGTTGTAATCCCAGGAGATCTCCAGCCACCACCTGGAGGCTGAAGCCAGAGGTGAGAGATCACGGGAGGAGGTGGAAGTCCAATCAAGACATCCGTGACAAAATCACCACATGCTCAGATAAAGCAATCTGTGTGAAACGGGTATTCGTTATTGCGCAAAACTCACTGCGCGTGGGCGAAAATAGAAGAGCTTTTTCTAGAGAACCACTACCATTATAGTAAACATGTATTTTTTAAATCAACTCTTTGTTGTTTTTGTAATGGATGTTTTGATTGGACTTCCACCACCTGGAGACCAGCAGCCCTTCTGAGGGACCACATACCACACAGGGGAGATGGACTGCCAGGTCTCTATGGAAGACCGTAACGTATGGGCAGGGTAATATCGAACAGAATGGTGTAGTGGTCAGAGTGTCAGGCCAGGATCTGGGAAATGTACAAAAATGATAATAATACTTTCAAATGTGTAAGTTCAGATACATAAAGATAGAAGATGACAACGACGGGACGGTGGTCTCCGGAATGCGATGCCGTTTCGACAAACGTCTTCTTCTAACCAAGAGTCTATAGGTTGATGATGTTTGAAAGATTGCACTTAAGTGGAAAAGCTGCCCAATTCACATGGAGTTCAATAGTTTCACCTATTTCATTGCATAAGTAATGGAGAAGAACATCTCTCAAACAGAATAAAGCTTATGTGTATCAGACATCATCAACTTATAGACTCTTGGTTAGAAGAAGACGTTTGTCGAAACGGCATCGCATTCCGGAGACCACCGTCCCGTCGTTGTCATCTTCTATCTTTATGTATCTGAACTTACACATTTGAATGCATTATTATCATTTTTGTACATTTCATATTTATAACTTTACAGGATCTGGGGAAACCAGCTTCATATCCCCTCCCTGCCATGGAAGCTTGCTGGGCCGGTCACACACTCTCAGCCTAACTTACCTCACAGCGTCGTTGCTGTGAGGAAAATGTGGAGGAGAGAATGACATAAGCCATCTTGGGTCCCTGTTAGGGAACAAGGTGGGTTATAGTTGAAACGAATGAATGAAGGCGGCCTTGGAAATCCTGGACCCAAATGGTTTAGGGCCTGAATGCTGAAAACCTAGCCGTTTACACTGGATAATAAAACCTACCGGATTAACTGGCACCCTCATGTTAATGACGTACTTAATCACCATATGGCCTTGTGTGTCTGGCAAGACAATCTCAAGATTGTCTGGCAACCAGACGTTCTAGCTCTTTTTAGCATTATGCATCGCTAGGTGGCGCGCTAGACTTGTTTTCAATGCCAAAGACAATGGGGAACCCTTAGCACCCATGTCTAGCCACAAATAACACCTTCCAAGGGAAGACCGTCAACAATTCACAACTATGTATGATCAAAATTGTATATTACATTCATTAACATACGAGGATGGGTTAGTGGTCCTAACCCAATGGAATGTATGGATATGCAGGGCTATTTTTGGGCAGGAACGCACAGGAACGGAGTTCCGGCTGGCTCCCAAGTTGGCCACACCCAGCAGGAACTCATTAGCATAACAGGCCACACCCAACAGCAGAAACTCATTAGGATTGGCTACATTATGGGTGTGTGGCCTAACATGCAAAGGAGTCCCTGCTACAAAAAAGCCCTGGGTTTTGACAACAAACAAGGTAAACAGAATAACAAGCAAAAGGTGGGTGCAGCTGGATGACCACACTTCTGGTAACATGGGGGTGCGGCCTAATATGCTAATGAGCTGTGCAGTCAGGGGTGTGGCCTAATATGTTAATGGATTTCTGCTATTGGGTGTGGCCTATTATGCTAATGAGCCCTGTAATATGTATTTATATATTCTATTGGGTTATGACCATTAACCCATCCTTGTACTTTATGAAATGTAATATACAGTTTTGATCATATATAATTGTGACTTGTTGATGGTCTTCCCTTGGTGGGTGTTATTTGTGGCTAGACTTGCTTTTAAGGCAAGAGACGTTTCAGAGGTGGTTTGCCATTGCCGGCCTCTGTGTCACGGCCCTGGAATTCCTTGGAGGTCGCCCTTCCAGATACTAACCAGGGCTGATCCTGCTTAGCTTCCGAGATCTGACGGGATCGGGCTACCCTGGTTAGAGCGGCATCATCATGTGTGCTAAGTGTATACAGCTTTCACCCCAGAGATGGAGGGGCAGAGGCATGGCTAATGCTGGTTTCCCTAAGACTGGAAATTCATGTCGTGCCTTTTCTTAATTTTGTGTGGGTAACCTGAAGTGGGGTTGCGTCGTTGGAACGGCCTTGCGGTTTCTACCCACACCGAGCGATGGCTTCCTCACGCTTCTGTGTGCTCTCGTGCTTTCTCCTAGAGCTGCTGAATCCTGACATTGAAAAGGACATCCGCTGTGCCAAGAGGATTGTGGAAGATCCCCAAGGAATGGACGCCTGGTAAGAGAACAACCTAAGCTGGCCGGTCCAGATTGGGAGCCTCCTGGGTCCGCATCTCCCCCTGCTATAGTTACAAGTTGTTGTTGTTGTTAGCCATTCAGTCGTGTCTGACTCTTGGCGATTCTGTGGGCCAGCCCTGTTTCTTTGAGTCATTCCATGCTCAGGCTGGTGTCGACTTTTATGGGGTCTAGCCACCGTGTTCTTTGGTGGCCCGGTTTCCTTTTGCCGCTAACCAATCCAAGCATAATTGTTTTTTCTAGTTACATAGGACTGCTCAACGCTTTCTTTGAACCCGTATTTCTTTCCCCCCACTTAAACAAAGTTATCAAGGTATTCCCCCAAAGGGCAAGTTCAGATCTCTCTAGGGTTGCCGGCTCTGGGTTGGGAAATACCCGGAGGTTTTGGGGGTGGAGCCTGGGGGCGGTGGGGATTGTGAAGGGGAGGGACCTCAACAGGGAAAAGCAGCCATTTTCTTCAAGGGAGCTGATGCCTGGAGATTAATTGTAATAGCAGGACAGCCAGTGCGGAGTAGTGGTAGAGTGTGGCGTAGTGGTTAAGTCCGCGGACTCTAATCTGGGTGAACCAGGTTTTATTCCCCACTCCTCCACTTGCACCTGCTGGATGACCTTGGGCAAGCCATAGTTCTGACAAGAGCTGTCCTTGAAAGGGCAGTCCTTGAAAGAGCTCTCTCAGCCCCACCTGCCTCACAGGGTGTCTGTTGTGGGGAGGGGAAGGGAAAGGAGTCTGTAAGCTGCTCTGAGACTCCGAGTGAAGGGCAGGGTATAAATCCAATCCCTTCTTCTTCTTCTAGTTGTAATTGTAGGAGATCTCCAGGTTCCACCTGGAGGCTGGCAACACCGGTCCTCCCGCACTGCTGCTGCTGCTGGCCAGGTCTGAGCCGCCGGGAGGGGATGCCAATCACTTCGTTCTGTAATAGGGGTACCAACCTCCAGGTGGAGCCTGGAGTCCTCCTGAATTTTCAACTGATCTCCAGACTATAAAGATCAGTACCCCCGGAGGAAATGGTCGTTTGTGGCGTCAGACGGTATGGCGTCACATCCCCGCTGAGCGTCCTTCTCTCCCTGAACTCTTCCCTTCCCAGTCACCCCCCCCAAATGTCCAGGAATTTCCCAAGGTGGCGTTGGCATCCCTGCTTTGTAACCCTTTCATTCCATTCCTTTACATTCCATTCCATTCATTTTTATTGCCCATAGACCCATAAGTCATAAGCAAATAGACAGGGTATAATACAAAATACAACATATATACATAGAGTCAGGGCTTTTTTTGTAGAAAAAGCCCAGCAGGAACTAATTAGCATAACGGGCCACACCCCGACAGCACAGCTCATTAGCATATTAGGCCACACCCCATGTTACCAGAAGTGTGGTCATCCAGCCACACCCACCTTTTGCTTCTTATTCTGTTTACTTTGTTTCTTGTCAAAACCCAGGGCTTTTTTTGTAGCAGGAACGTCTTTGCATGCTAGGCCACACACCCCTAATGTAGCCAATCCTAATGAGTTTCTGCTGTTGTGTGTGGCCTATTTTGCTAATTAGTTCCTGCTGGGCGTGGCCAACTCGGGAGCCAGCCGGAACTCTGTTCCTGTGCGCTCCTGCCCCAAAATAGCCCTGCATACAGTACATTACAATTAGAGTTACAATTTCACAAAATTAGGCAATTTGGTTACCAAATATATATTAACTGCCTAAAAGAGTCAATTCATTTAATACCGCCCAGGGTTACAGATAAAAACTTTGCCACTGCCAACGTCACATTTGGATCAGTATCAGCTAAGAGATTAGCTGCAAGTTCCTGATTTGTAGCAGGGCTCCATTTCTGAACGTACACTGAGATCCATCTGTCACGAGCCACATCGTATTTTCTGCAGTCGATGAAAAAAATGCCAATTTGTGTCCAAATCACCTGAATTACAATGACCAAGTCGTTCTGAAAAAGGAGTCCCTCTGAAACTGCCTGCTAATCCCCCAAGAGGCAAAACATTTAATCTTGCCTTAGAAAACAATATTCTATATTTGGGACCCTGCTTTGTAAACAAACTTCTGCTGAAGAAAACACTACAGTCTCTGCACCCACACGCTGTGTACATTTTCTAGATATGCGTGCGGGGAGGGCGGGGTAAAAATGCTTAAATAAATAAATAAATATAAAATAAATATAAATAAATACACTGATTTCGCACAAGGAGCTGCGCCGCCGTCACGCCTCCCTTTGCCCTGTTTCCATTGGTCAATTTCCCACTCAAAGCCACGCGGCTGCATTTTGACCCGCGGCTTCACCTGATTTCCCCCGCGGTTTCGTGATCCTCAAAAAACGGTCTGATTTCGCACTAGAGCTGCCTCGATGTTGCGCCGCCATTTGACCCGGCTTCACCCGATTTCCTCCGCAGTTTCGTGATCCTCAAAAAACAGGATCACAAAACTGTGGGGGAAATCGGGCGAAGCCGCGAGTCAAAATGCAGCCCCGCAGCTTCGGGTGTAAAATTGACCAATAGTATCGGGGCAAACGGTGGCACAACATCAAGGCAGCTCTAGTGCGAGATCAGCCACGATCACAAAACCGTGGGGAAAATTGGGCGAAGCTGCGGGTCAAAATACGGCCGCGCGGCTTCGAGTGGGAAATTGACCAATGGAAATGGGGCAAAGGGAGGTACAGGGAAACGGGGCAAAGGGAGGAAATGGGAAATGGGAGGAGGTACAGACTAATGACTGTAATGGCCCATTTCCCTTCTTCTCTAGCCTTGTCCGCCTGTTACAGTGCATGCACATGGAACCTACATGTATGTACCTATAACAGTGTTGTCTCTGCGGGGGGGGGGGGGGAGGCTGGAGATCTCTCAGAATTACAACTGATCTCCAGACTACAAAGTTCAGTTCCCCTGGAGGAAATACAAACCAGATTGATTCACGGGAATAAGATATGATCTTATTTCATGCCGACCTTTATTGGCATAAAAGATGCTAGTAAGTCACAGTGAAGAATAAACACAAAGGTCTGATAGATAAACACAAAGGTCAGAGACATAAAGCAGTTGATTAAAAAATAAGATACGGTCAAAAGACCCCAACCGTGAACTTATAACTGGCTGCAGTCACGCATGCTAAATAGTCAACTTTCAATCCACTTTCAGTGGACTTTCCATCTGGATTTTTACTGTGTGAATTGGCAGAATCCAGCTGGAAAGTGGATTGAAAGTGGAGTGAAAATGGGCTTCCGGTTTATGGCGACACGCTGAGCAGACTCATCTCCCGGACCTCCCGGGGATGAAATCTGCGCACCAGCAGAAAGGAGGGGGCCCCCCGATGTCTCGCTACCCCCCCGGAGCCTGGTTGAAAGGCTCCTAGCCATGGGACTTTTGAGAGGTGGCCTCTTTGCCAGCGCGATGCTGGGGAATCGAGGCGCTTCTCCGTCCTGACGGTCCTCCTGCTGTGTGTCTGTATGGAACTAGTGACGCTGACTGGGACAAGCACTGGAGATCGAGCGGTTTAAACGGAGCTACTACAGCGAGGTCACAAGACTGACTATGAACTGTGAGTCAGATTAGAGCGTAATTTACATTTTAAAAGGAAAGCTCCCACCCCAAGGACTAGGAAAGAAAGCGAGCGAGGGAGGGGCCCCTCCCATGCGCACAAATTTAAATGCTAGACCCGAGGGGGGAGAGGAAGCAAAAACGCTGAAATCTGTTGAGAGAGATTTACCAGGGCACGGATGAGCATATGAGCGTATATTCAGAGACTTTAGCAAATCTTCGGAAAGTAAACAATCCATAAAGATGGCGGAGAAGAGGACTGAGAAAGAAAAACTTTTAAAAGCAAAAGTAGATGGGAGCCCTCGTCCAAAAGCAACCACCAAGTTGGCTAAAACCAAAGCATCACTACTCAGCAGCTTCAATTGAACGAGACTCTTAAAATCATGGAACAAACACCTGAGAAAGTGAAAGAAGTTGACGCCACTACCCAAAAGGTGAAGAAAAAGGTGCAAAGGTTGGAAAAGAAGCAAATTTCTACAGAAGAACAACTTTTACAGCTACAAATGGAGAAGGCAAACTTGGTCCTTCGATTCCAAGGTGTCTCAGAATTCAAAGGAGAGAATCTGAAACAAGTGATGAGCAATGCATTAGCCCCAGTGACAGATTTGAAGGTGGAGTATCTCATGAGTGAAATGGATGTGGCCTACAGGTCCTATTCCGTATATATAAAGAAGAAGAATCTGCCTGGGGAAATAGTAATGAGATTCTCGAAAAGGCACGTGAGGGATTCTATCCTGAGAGCGATGGCAGGGACACCCTTGAAAATTGGGGACAGTACCATCAGGATTCTGAAAGACATCCCATTTGAAATAAGAAAGAAATATAAAGATTTAATTCTTTTTCTTCAAACAAAT